TGACCAACGGTGGCTAGATAAGCACCTTCACCTAGCCTTCCTCATGGCCACCAAGCGCAGCCATTCCCACCACTCCCCAACTGAAGCGAGCAGGATTTTCCAGCAAGGAAGGTGATGATGAGTAGGGACGATGATTGGATGGAATGTGTGTGAGTTGGCGCGCGAGCGCACCTTTCTTACAGACCGGATAGAGTCCAGATGTGTCACAAAGATATCCATATAGACAGCGCATGGCCGGGCATGATACTGGCAGATGGATGGTGAAGATTGAGTATGATGAGAGGGAGAGAGTGGAGGGGAGGGAGAGGAGGTGGGCGGGGAAGGGGAGATGGGGGGTTTGAAGGGTTCATATGGTTAAACACCAAAAGGCCAACAAAGCTTGGTGGCAATGCCTCAGATTAAGAGAAATAAAAAAGGGGATAACGGGGTACATAAGGAAACATAGAGGAAGAACTGACGCGGTTTTTTTTTTATCCATCGTATGTACGTACCTATGCAATTTCCTGAAACTGGATCCGGTGTGTAGCCATAGTTGCACTTGCAGTATTGAAAGGGCGGATTGTTGTTCCACCACCTCCAATTGTCATATTTCTCAACGCAATTGCCATCACCACAGTTGTCAGCGGTGCATTCGTCACGAAGGAAGTCTGGACACAGATGGAGAGAAAACAGGTGTGTAAGGAGGTGAGGCATGCGGGATGGGACACCCACCCAACCACCCTTCCATAAATCAATAGAGGCAATCCAGCAGGTGTTTTTTGAGTCCACTCAAAAATCACCTGCAATCCAGCAGGGGGGATGGTACTTTTTCAAATGGGATTGGCTTGAAAGAAACATCAAACTTTTCCTGATTGCTCAAATTGAGCAGGCGTATACATGTTGAAATACCACCACGGCCATTTGTCAGAGTTCCAAGCGCAATTGTCATTAACACAGTTGTCAGCAGTGCAATTGACATGAAGAAACTATGGACAGAGATAGAGAAGAAACAGGAGTTTGTAAGCAGGTGAGGCATGCAGGATGAGACACCCACCACACTGCCACGGATCAACAGAGGCAATCCAGCAGGGGAAATGGTAGTTATTCGTGGAATTGGCTTGATAGAATCATCGAAATCCCCCTGATTAAACAGACTAAGCTGTGCTATTGTGCAAGCACACACACACATATGTGCATAATCCACAGACGCAAGCAGATTATTCCGTAATCCACACAAACCTCATTCACAACGCTGCGTGACTTCACATGCTACTGCAGATGAGCCTCAAGAGAGAGGTGAAGTAGGAGAGGGGAAGAGATGAAGATGGTGAAAATGGAGGACAGCACAAACATACGTACGTACCAGCACAAAGGACAGCACATGCGTATGTACAAACTTACCAACACACTTTCCGTCGTAGCGATTGGGGAAGGCATGGGCGGCAGCAATGGAAAGGGGAAGCGAAGGGAGGGAAAGGCATGGGCGGCAGCAATGGAAAGGGGAAGCGAAGGGAGGGAAAGGCATGGGCGGCAGCAATGGAGAGGCAGTGAGGGCAGCTGGATTGCAAGCATGACTCTCACTCAAGGCACGGGGGGGGATGAGGAAGTGTGCCGCTCTTCTGATAGGCGAGTTCCTTTGGTCCTTCGGTCGTTTCCATAGGCAAACGACCAAGTGCCTTATCAATGCGGACCTGAGCAGAGCAGCAACCCCGCAGTCCGTCTACTCCACCTTTACTGGCCGCGGTGGGCCTGCAGGCAACAGCGGGTCTTGGCTCTGGCATACCATGAGCAATCAGAAGCTCCCAACGATGGATGGCCCAGTGCAGGGTTGCGCCGATGATCGTTCTCTCTCCGTCCCATGTACTGATCATAGGCAGCAGCCGCTGGAGGTCTGGCATGGCAGCAAGCCGTCGCCCTCCAGTCGAAGTTACGCTAGGTGACGCCGGGGCCAGTCTCATGGCCCAGTCCCACAGCTTGGTCTCTCAATTCCTTAGCTTTGAGCAGGTCCTTTATGTGGTTGAGCCCCCCGGGTCTAGTGCCCCAAGATAGGCGATCAGTGATTGTTCTTGACAGCGAGAGAGCGAGCACGCACCAGTGCAATTGCCAAATGGCGAAATGACGTAGTTGTCGTTGCACCCGCATATACCCGCCTTGCAGAAAGAGTTGGTGCCACAGTTCATGCGATCGCAGAGATCTGGGAGGGGAAACGGAGGCAGTTTGAAAAAGGAGAGTTCAGCTTGGGATTCAAAGAACAAAGAGAGGGGGTGTGAAAGAACACGATCCATTTTCCACGTGCACCCATCCTTGCATATGCATTCGTAAAGCCATCCACCGATATCACATTCCTTATTTTCGCCGCAGCCTGTGACGTAGCAGGTTTGTGGCGGATGGAGGGGACGAACGGGTGTTGATAAGAGAGAGCGGACGAGTGGTTGAAAGAGGTGGAAGAGGCGAGTTCCCTACCAGGGCGCATGTTGCTGGGCAAGAAAGCGTGAGAGAGAGTGCGGAAGAGGGGGCGAGGGGCATCAACATGCAGACAGAAAAGCACACTACGTACCAACACACGATCCCGGCTCCCCAACGTATCCTTCGAGGCATCTGCAGACCGCCTCGCCGTTGACGCCACCAAAGTCCACACACTCCTCCCCAGCGCCACACGTCTTGATGCTGCACGATTCTGGTACATGGTCATTGGTCAGGTCAGGGGGAGTGAGAGTGTGGAGGGGAGGAGAGAAAGGGAGAGGGGGGTTGGGACGGGGGAGAGGGAGAGCGGGGGGAAAAGAAGGTGGAAGAGGCGAGTTCCCTACCAGGGCGCATGTTGGGCAAGAAATCGTGAGAGAGAGTGCGGGAGAGGGGGCGAGGGGCAAATATGCAGACAGAAAAGCACACTACGTACCAAGACACGATCCCGGCTCCCCAACGTATCCATCGAGGCATCTGCAGACCGACTCGCCGTTGTCGCCGCTGAAATCCACACACTCCTCCCCAGCGCCACACGTCTTGATGCTGGTCGTTGGTCAGGTCAGGGGGAGGGAGAGTGTGGAGGGGAGGAGAGAAGGGAGAAAAATTGAGCAAAAATCTAGTTCCACTGTGCCAGAGCGTGGGACAGAGTGCGAGAGTGAGTGAGTGACACGCCAAGTCCCAGGGGTAGACGGAGAAAGGGAGAGAGAGGGAGAGGGGGAACACGCACCAGTGCAAGTGCCATCAGGTAGCGTGTTATAGTCGGGGTTGCAAGCGCATTTACCGACGGAGTTGCAAGAAGAGTCGGGACCGCACTCCACACCATCACAGGAATCTGGGAAGAGAGATGGAGGCAGTTTAAACAGTGGGGCAGGAGCGCGTTAGTACAGCGGGACTTTTAGCGTGCTAATGGTGCATGCGGCACGGGGCATGGCGCATGCGGCACGGGGCATGGTGCATGCGGCACGGGGCATGGTGCATCCGGCACGGGGCATGGTGCATGCGGCACGGGGCATGGTGCATCCGGCACGAGGCATGGTGCATCCGGCACGGGGCATGGTGCATCCGGCACGGGGCATGGTGCATGGTGCATGGGGCATGGTGCATAGGGAGTGCATCAACTCACAGACACAGGCTTGCACGTCCGCAACTCACAGGCTGGTGGCGGGGGAGGAGGCATGGCGGCTGGAGGGACAGGGGTGGAGAGGAGAGGCGAGGAGAGAGAGGAGAAGAGAGCGGAGGAGAGAGGAGAGGAGAGGGGAGAGAGGAGAGGAGAGGGGGGAGAGGAGAGGAGAGGAGCGGAGGAGGAGGAGGAGGAGGAGGAGGAGGAGAGGAGAGGAGAGGAGAGGAGAGGAGAGGAGAGGGGAGGGGAGGGGAGGGGAGTGGAGGGGAGGGGAGGGAAGGGGAGGGGAGGGGAGGGGAGGGGAGGAACGGGGACGGGGAGGGGAGGGGAGGAAAGTTTGGAGATAGAGATGGGAAGAGGAAGGAAGTACGCAACCAGACGATCAGCCTCGGCCTGGTGAATGCAACTAGGGAGGGGCGGAGGAAGGAAAGACAGGAGAGGCATAGTAGTGGCGATTGTCACCAGCGGCGGCGACGACCCTCACCACACCAACGACGATGGTGACAGTCCGACTGTCATTCTCACTTTCTCGCCAGCAACAACGAGAGCCATCATGCGGCACGGGGGGAGTGGTGCATGCGGCACGGGGCAGCATGGGGCACGGGGCATGGTGCATGCGGCATGGGGCAAGGGCCATGAGGCACGAAGCATGATGCATGGGGCATGGAATATAGTATCACGGGACACGGGCACGGGGCATGGAGTATCATGAGAAAGCACCCTCAACATAGTCACTCACATCACACCAGCCATCAACATAGTCACTCACTGGCACAAGTTTCATCGGGGAGCATGACTTGACCAGGCTGGCACAAGCAGAGGTGTCTGACGCAGTTATTGGTCTTGCATTCGTTGTCATCGCGGCATATGGCTGGTGGAGGCACGGCACAGAGGAGCGCAGCGCAGGGGGTAGACGGGCGCAGAGGATTGGGCGGGTGAGAGGCAGGAGAACACGGTGGTGCTAGAGCAGGCCTGGCTAGGGTTGTTGCTCTCTGAAGGATCTACAGCAGAAAGAGAGAACTTGCAGGATAGATAGAGACGGCAGCAATGGTGCCTACAGCAACAGCGGCAATGGCGGCGGCAGCAGCGGCAGCAGCAGGCGTGGCGGCAGCAAAGTGCATCAACTTACAGACACATGCTTGCACGCCGGTGTTCCACACTTTCCCCTGAGGACAGGCCGGAGGCAGGAGATAAGCCTTGGCGCGAGGCATGGAGGCTGGAGGGTCAGGGGAGGGGAGGAGAGGAGAGGAGAGAGAGGGTAGAGGGAGGAGAGGGGAGTTGGAGATAGAGATGGGGAAGAAAGAATCTTGGCAACCAGACGATCAGCCTGGGCTTGGTGAATGCAACTAGGGAGGGGCGGAGGTAGGAAAGATAGGCAGAGCAAAGGAGAGAGAACATAGCAGCGATCTTCGCCAGCGACGATCGCTATTGATCACGATCGTCATTCTCCATTAATGCCAGCACAACACAGCGCGAGATTCACGTGCGTCGATCATCACTGGCGATGATCACCACCCCCGGCGACGGTCATGGGCGACGGTCATGGGCGACGGTCATGGGCGACGGTCATGGGCGACGGTCACCATCACGGGAGACGGTCACCATCACGGGCGACGGTCATCAATAGCATCATCCAGCGACGATCACAATATGAGAGCGCAATCAGCATCTGCGGCAACAGTCATCACCACCAGCAGCCGTGATTACGACGAGAAGGCAATCCCTCACCTGCTAACAACCAGAGGATATTTACCTCCGAGTCCTTCAGTCCTCACCTGCTACGATCATCAGAGTCGCCACCAGCGCTACCGCAAGCCCAATGCGGCGCGGGCCGCAGCCGAAAGTTGGCATGATGTTCCTCAGAGAGGCTTCTGACGGGAAAGGGGTCGATGATGGGGTTACTGAAGGGAAATGTGAGCAAAGCTAGCTTCGCGGCTACAACTAGTAGTACGTTTGATTGAATGGTGGCGGAAGGAAAGCTGACTACGAGCGGGGCGTAAAGGTTTACCAAACGGCGGAAAGTCCGCCCGTCACCGCACGTGCGACATGTTTCCTCCGCCAGCCTGGTCCGCCAGCAGAACTAACGTCGCAAGGACACATCCAGAATTACCGTGTCGGCCCCAAAACTGTCATCACTTTCGTGAGATTGGTCGAAAGTTTTGAGTGGGTTTTTGACGCGATTGGTTTTCGATTTTCCCACCGAACCTCCTTCTGGGGTTTTCCGATCCTACATTTTTTTCGTTGACTTCGTTGTGTAATTCGGGGTGTGGCCTTAAAGCCGAAGTCTCTTGCCAGGGGAGCAGGCGGCAGCGGTGGGACTCCGCTGATGGGGTTGTAATCGAAGGGAATCTCCTTCCAAGCCGAGCGCCGTGACTGCTTGGAGCAGGAGCCGGCAAGCGGGTGGCTCAGGGAGCCGGTGGAAGGTACACGTACGTACTGTACTGTGCAGTACTGCAGTTGTAGTCGTCTCCAGCCACTGGCAATTGGCAATTAATGAGCCGCCAGTTGGCCACATCCCGCACGAACGGCAGATACCGGTCCCAATGACATCGACAGCCAGCCACACAATATATTCGGCAGTACAAAAGGAGTGAATTTGTGACCACCAAGGAGGAGACGAGGGTGTGGAGAACCCGGGGCCAGGGCGTCTCCTCAAGGGTAGTATTTCACATATCTGCGGCTCGGGGAGCAGCCGTCTCATTAGTATGTGTGGTAGACTATCGCCAATTTCACTACTGACTAGGCTAGTCATGAATCTGTCCCAAACACCGCCTTCAGGAGTCATTTGGGACAGGCTAACACCATCACATGTGACGGCTTTGGAAAGCCGTCGTGGTAGACATACGTACAGTGCAGTACCACTACAGTACGCGTGAACTCAGCCAAATGAACATGGAGCCCGCCAGATTGACCACATCCCGCACGAACAACGGCTGCACCTGACCTCTCCTGAGTCGGTCCAGCGACATCGCCAGCCAGGCCACACAATAATTCTCACAGACGAGCGATCGTCTAAGGGCGTGTCCGAAGTGAAACGTCGTCATCCGTTGACATCCGTTTCTGGATGTCGGTAAATAACAGCCTTCGGATCTAAGTATTCGACCGTCAGGATGTGTCGACATTGCCGACTGATGACGACGCTTCACTTCGGACACGCCCTAAGCCCTAATCGAGTTGGCCGCAAAAATGAGTGACTCAGGCCGCCTGAACGGAGCCAAACGAGGGAGAATGGACATGAACGGATATCCATACTTGGACGTGAACAGACGCGCGGTAGGAGCGGCTGACCGCTCCGCCCCGATAAACACCACACTTCCTCCCAGTCTCCCCCGTCCCAGCTTCCCCCCGAAGCCATTCCGCGCCAGTTGCGATTAGGTGGCATCACAGTCACGGCCGGCGTCATTGTTTCGAATCCGAACCGAACGTTTCCTGAAATTACGTATGTCAATCAACCTCTGACGGACGTCTAGGATACGTGCCATACAGTGAGTACCACCTCTGTGAACTCCAGCCAATTGAATGGAGCCCGCCAGATTGCCCACATCCCGCACAAGCGCATGGGGAATGATGCTCCCGACCCGAGTCCTGACCTGATTATGCCGAAGAGGGTTCTCCCTCTGCACTCCTAACCTGGTCATGCCGGTCCAGTGACATCGCCAGCCAGCCAATCAACTCTCACGATGGAGGACAAGCGACTCGATCGAGGGTTGTTGATTCATGGACATTTCCCCTTAAAGCCCAAATCTGGGGCGGCGTGTCTCTACTTGAAGTTTCTGGAACTAGGGCCGTGTTCGATAGCCATGAAAGCATGTACAGTACTAGGGGTCCCTGACTGGAAAGAAAACCAGTAATGCTTCCCAAATTCGGCGGGACACAGGCATCGGCACGCGAGGTGCGTTGAGATTGGGAGCCATCGCTGGTAAAGAATTGCACGATTCGACCAATCTTGAGACTGGCTCAAAACCATCGACCACCCTCGCTTAGCAGCCTGCACAAATCTTCCTGGTATATAATTCGATCAACCGTTCATGCGCATTTTAGCCACGAATGTAGAAACTGTTAGTTGTTTGCCGTTTATGGTGTTACTATGCCGGTTTGCATTTGATTTGACCGCACGAGTCAATTGTCAACGCAGGACCAACATTTACGAGCGATGATGAATGTGGAGTTGCCTATTGCATATCGTTGCTATTCATGAAAAAAAAAGGATAATGAATAAAACTATATGAATCACGAAGCATACAAAATATTACGACACTTCAGGACCTCTTATGATTTTAAAATTTCTTATTACGCTTGAATTTGACCTCTTGTGAAACATGCACGATGCAGAGTGGTGCAACTGCGCAATCATCATATAATCTGTAATAATTTGTATAACATTGCATAAATAGAGCAGACACATTTGATCCATTGGCATGAGACGCTTGCTAAATAGTTTTTTTTCTACATACGGTAGAGGTTACGGATATGCAATCAGTCTAGGCTAATAAGAATGAATGTTTATTTGGTTTATTATGAAACCTTATCAAATTTCTACTTGTGTTTGGATCAAGGATTCAGAAGTCATACCTTTTACCCTGATTTCCTGTTTTTCATGATGTTTTTCTCAAGTGGCCCTGAACTATCAGCCTTTCATTTTTTTAGACAATGTTTTTTCAGTGTTATGTAGATTCCGAAATTGATTTTTCTGTGTTTGGATTTTTCTGGCACTGACGAATCAGAGTTGTATCGTGTTCGACCGTGAAACTGAAGACAAGATTCCGTGAATCACGCAGTTTTGCCAAGTTTGGCGCCTAGGCTTTCACCGTCTGCAGTCAGTTACCCACTCTACACCACACTGCGCCTCGGACTGGTTTATCTGTAATGGCTCTCGCTATTGGACTATGATGCTGATAAGTGTGCAAGTTTTAAGGAACAACCCTGATTGATCGGCATTTTATTTTTCCATACTATGAAAAAAAACAGTGTTTTCGACCGGACGACACTGAAAATCAGTGTTACTCTCCTAGGGAGACTGGGTGCCCATGGTATGTGAAAACCAATCTAAGGCTCTGATTTGGTTCTATATATACAATGTGTCTCTATAATAATTACAAACCAAGATCATTATCTACTTGAAATAATAGGTTGGTGCAAACTCTAGATTTTAAGAGCGTATTCCTACACCTCGTATCAAGCGAACCTGATATCAGGCTCACACTGAAAATTCCCCTAAACTCAAAACATCTCGCTAGTTTTACTAGGCAAGTATGATATGTGGTTGTTTGACTGAGGCGTAGGAATACGCTCTAAGGGTGAATACATTTTTTTTTTTACTACACATGGATGAAACTATTGAGATAGTTCAGTAAAACATATATGATGTGGGCGGCGTGGGTGGGTTGAGAAGGCCCTGAAGCACGGCCCTAATTTTAATATTTTTTACTCTGATTCTGAGTTCGTTCAGGCTTTTTGTACCTAGGCTGAACTCAATTTTTTTTTTATGTACCTTGTCAGATTTTTTAGGGTTTTTTTTATGACTTGGCTAAAATGTCATCCTAATTTTATGAGTGTAGGCTGAACCTTTAGCCTTGTATCGAGGGTGCACACTGAATCCGGCAATACAGGGATTTCCGTTAGCCTGTAGGATTACCGATAACACTGTCAATCACGGGCGGGAAATCAAGTTTATCCCCGCGAGGCCCCGCACTGTCACAGTCAGGGCTCTCGTTATCAGTGCAATTTACCCTTCCATACTGATTATAAGGGTGAAATCTTGGGCTTACACTGATGTGTTTGGGTAATTTTTTGGAGGATTACTATTACACGGATATGTCAGTGTAACGCTGTAGGCCACACTGATGCATTGAGGTAACT